GAACTGGATAATGAATGATTTAGCAATAAAAGGAACAAACTATTGAGGAATGTAACAAAATAGATAATCTCAAATTCTGGAGCAGAAGAACTAGACATCAAAAGGAGTATATTTTATCAATCAATTTCTATAGTATTTTAGAAAATGTGAAAAAATTTTTAGTGTCAGAAAATGTATCAATGATTGTCGAGGATTAGGTGTAGTTAAAGGAGAGGGTCAGTGATGATTAACTGTAAAGAAGCATGGAAAAAATTTTAAGTCAATGGAAACTTTCTATACCTTTTATTGTGATGGTAATGACATGTTTATATGTTTGTCAAAATCATGTAATTATGATGGTAAATGATTTCATTTGATTGTTTGTAAATTATACCTGAGGAAATCTGATTTAAAAATGAAAAAAAAAACACCAAATCAAATTTGTCTATGTCAAATACTAGCAAAACTTATTTGTCCATGTCACTGTTATCTCCTGGAGTCTGTATCATGTGCTATCAACTAGAAACTAAACTGCTCAATGAGGCTAGCAAGAAGCAGAGATATTATTTCAGAGAGATTCAAATAACATCAAATTACCAACTATAATTAAGTCAAGAGGTCGTTGTTTAAGTCAGCTTTTTTGTTGATGTGACTAAAAGACTTGACAAGAACAATTAGAGGAGGAAAAGTTTATTTGGGGGCTAGAGGTTTCAGAAGTCTCCATTTATTTATTTATTTGGGGGTACTAGAGATTGAACTCAGTGGGTACTTGACCAGAGAGCCACTTCACTAGCCCTATTTTGTATGTTATTTAGTTGCTTATTTATTGAGTTGCTTAGAACCTTGCTTTTGTGAGGCTAGCTTTGAACTAGTAATATTTCTGCCTCAGCCTCCCAAACCTCTGGGATTACAGGCATGCACCACTGCACCAGTTTATAGATGGCCAACTCCAAAACTGCATGCCCAAGGTGAGGTAGACCATTGTGGTGAAAGGTCATGGCAGAATAAAGCACTTCAGGACATGGCTATGAGGAAACAGAGTTCCCCTCACCAGGAACAAGTTGTAAACCCCAAAGGCATACCCCAATAGACCTATATCCTCCAGCCATATCTTACCTGCCTACAGTTACCATCAAGTTAATAAATATCAGTGGATTAATGTACTGATCAGTTAAATTATGATAATTTAATCATTTTGCCTCTAACAAGTGCTTTTGGGATATACCTCATATCTAAACTATAAGTTACCTTTATAGAAATTTTGTTTCAGCTAATTATTGAAAGTCAATAGACATTTTAATAGTAATTAGTTAAAATTCCCTACTGTTTTAAGTACAATCTAAATATGTCTAACCGCATGCAAATAAAAACAGAATGTTCGAAAGCCTTGTTTAGAACTTTGTACCTACTTTACATGCTTGAAAACAAAAATGTCAAAAGTAAATAGATGCTGATAGTAAGATTAAGTTGACTCCTCAATAAATCATCCCTAAAATGATTTACAAAATCAAATATAAATCTGCATTTAGGAAATTATTTTTCCCAGATAACTCAGTTTTCACAAATAATTCAGGTCAAGTTGGTATATCAGCAAATTCAATGAAGTCCACTATATTTTGAAGAGACAACTCACTACTTTAGGTGAGGTTACACAAACAGACTAAATTCTATGGGTTTGAAGTTGTCACTTCATTAATTGTAGCTGCAATTATTGTTTATGTAAAATGAAACTAATTTTTCAGACCTACAAAGCTCTTGGATGGAGGGCCAGTTACTATTCCTTGGTACATTAAGATCAGGAATGTAAGATCCAGTGGAAAGAACAGAAAGCGTTTACAGTAGAATTGCACAGATATCATTTTATTTTTTACTATGAAATCTAGTTAGTTAATTTTTATTACCTAATGCTCAACTTATGTCCTCTCTGATATAGTGATCCGATCTCATGATTATTGAGAACCGTGCACATTAAGTTTCATTAAGTCTTTATATTTTTATTTTGTACTGGGGATTGAATTTAGAGGTGGTTTGACTCTGAGAAAAATCCTCATTTCTTTTTATTTAGTTAGATTTTTTTTTTTTTTATTTTGAGGCATTATCTCCCTAAATTGCTTTGGTCTTTGCTAAGTTGCTAAGGCTGGACTTAAACTTGAGAACCTTCTGTTTCAGTTCCCAAATCACTGGGATTACAGGAATGTGCCACTGTGTTGCCTGAAAAAGTGTTTTATATCACTTATGCTAGGCTATTTAATTCAAATTTCTTTGATGATTACCAGTCTCAGGGATTTTCAGGAGGACTAAGTTTGGCATTTGAACTACTGGACAATTATTTATAAACAATATGATCAAGTATTATACACATTATTAAAGAATAAAATTAGGTAGAAACATGAACCTGTGGAATATTTTAAAAAGGATTCTGCTTCTTCAATAGTGCACCTTATTCTGTCCCTGAGTAAAAACATTTTCCTTTTAAGACAATGCACAGAGATCCAGTACTCTGACTCATGTGCTTACAAGACAATAAGCATTTGATAAAATGGTCTTCCTGCTATCTTCCACATCCATGACATACTTTACACAAATACCCTTTGTTGTTCATCAAGGGCTCATAAGCATCATTTCATTTTTCTTCGCATAATCACATTATTCCCTCAACCCATAAATCTGTGCATGGTGATTACAATTCTTGCCCATCAATCCAAACTCCTTTTTCCCACATATAGTATTTATTGAATGGATCAAGGGAACGATCCTTCAAACAAAAATGGGATTGGCTCGTCACAATTAGGTCATTAATACATCAGTAAAGTTACTGTTCTTCAAAAAAATGAGAATATAAATCTTTAAAGAGATTTACATTAATGTAGACCTGTTAATGAGCAACTGTGGTACAATATCTCAAAACCTATGTGACTTTGTCACTTAATAAAATTTACATAATATTTTAATGTCCACATTTTTGTAATTATCATAGAAATCACTTATGGTAGGAAATTTCTTTCTATTGACAGCTTCTACTATTTTCCTTGGTTTTAACAAGAATATTAACAGGATTTTTTTTCAGGAACTAAAGTATGTATTATAATATATTAATTGGGCATCAGCTATAGTTGGAGCAGCACCAAATATTTTACTAAAGCATTAGGCTGATCCAAAATCTTTTTCCAGGTTATATGGAAATTTTTTATGAAATATCTGAGCAATATGTGATAAGGAAATTATAAATTTTGACAAATATTTGTCTTATGGAAATGAATTTCAGAAAAATAAATTACAAGGATATATAATTTTACAGATGATTCTACAAAAGCAGAGTTTTAAAAAATATATTAAAGGTTATGGAGTCAAATTATAATTGGTTTTGGCCGTATATTAGGAATTAGGGAATTTTGGGAGACAACTAGAATTATGTTTTATTCAATTTAAAAAATTAAAAGCATGTTACTAGTAAGAACTCAACTCAGATAAGCATGTATAACAAAATATAAGTGAACACCTCTACAAACTGCACTTCTATTGTGTGAATAGAAAATTTTCACAAAATATTGTGATTTATAGAATGATATAATTCTATTATGCTTTATTATGATTTTGAAAGGGGATATAGCATTTGAAGCAATATAGCACTGTGAATGCCAAGTTTAGATGGCAAATATCAGTCAATACAACATTTGTACAGTACAAAGGTTAAAAATGCCAAGAAGATATGGCTTAAGATGTTTAATTTATATAATTTATATGCACACACACATACTGTCAGGATCATCACATATTGACATAGAAACCATTTATGCAATTTTAATGGCTAAAATGATATTAATTATTATTTAATAAAATTTATCTAAAGGCCTCAACATTTTTGGTTTAAAATTTGTTAAAATTAGAAAAAGAATTTTTAAAAATTTTCTATGAAATCTGATTGAATAGATGTTAGTCTGAATCAATAAGTATAGTTACATATAATAATCCACCTGTATACACACACATATACTACATAATAAATAATGAATTAAAATAATAGCTAATTAGATTGCCTGTATCCTACCCATAATTATAGGTCAGCTTTAGAACTCTATACTTGTGATATGAAAAGCATTTTCACATGATGGTTTAGCATATGATTTTGAGTTTAAGTGTTGAATGCTTAATGTTATATGGCAACATGGCTAGGCTATGGTACTTAATTTTTTAACCAAACTTGTCCAAATGTTGCTGTGAATGTGTTTAATAAATGTGATTAATGCTTATCATTTCTTGACTTTAAGTAATAAAAATTACCATAAGAAATTGTGGATGGCTTCATCACATCAGCTTTAGGTCTTAAAACAAAAATGATATTTTTGAGAAAAGAAGGAATTCTACTTGAAAATTGTAACTCAGAAAATCTTTACCTGAGTTTTGGCCTGAAACTCTAACCTATGGATTTAACGACAGCCTTAAATTTTACCTGAGTTTTATTCTATCATTTCTCAAAATCTCTGTCTCTTTTTCTTTCTTTATTATCCTTTCTCTCTCTCTCTCTCCCCCACTTCTCTCTACACACACACAACTTATTTAATCCTTATCTTTTAAATGAATATAATGACATAATGAGTAAAAAGAATACCTTAAGAGAGACTATAATATTTGTTCCTGAAAAGATACTCTACTACTACTCAAACAAGTTTGTTGAGAAAAACAGAAAAAAAAAAATGATATATGCTTAATGAACTGGTTTCCCCTCTTATAAAACTATAAAAATTATAGAAGTAATAATTTCTGGTAAGGTGAGTAAAACTGTAAATTGATGAATTACAATTATTAAATACATTTAAACATTAAATAATTTGGATAAGGAGGAAGTGAAAACAGAGGTCTCAAGCACGAAACTCTGGTTCTGGAAGGGATAGAGAGGTTTGGAGTGGTTTTGGTCTCTCTCTCTCTTTTTTTTTTTTTTCATGTGATACACTTTTCAGTTCTCCTCTTTCCCAATATGCTTTTTCTTTTTAATTCTGTATTTGTCTCTTTTGTTCCATCAGCTCAGGCTGTATTATCGATGGATGAGACCCAAGGAGAGAATATGCTCCATCTTCAGAGTCCTCCACATTGCTAATGAAGGCAAGAATCATTTCTACTCTTCTGCACACTCCTCACTGTGACATGGTTTAGTCAAACCAGGTTTGAACCATGCTTTAAGTTCCCCAGAAGCTTTTTTGTAAATAGCATGTGATATTTTAGTCTTGCACTGTTTTTGATAGGTCTTCTGCTCTGTAAGATCTGTTTCCTCCCAATTCCACTAGCAACAAACACACATGTGTGCATACACACACACACACACACACACACACACATATAGTCAGGAAGACTTGCTTATGCATCTTGATTTTGGTCTTTGGCTTCTAAATTTCATATATATATATTTGGTACTGGGGATTGAAATCAGAGGCACTCACCACTAAGCCACATCCCCAGACCTACTTTTGTATTCGAGACAAGGGTCTCACTGAGTTGCTTAGGGCCTCACTAAGTTGCTGAGGCTGACTTTGAACTTGTGATCCTCCTGTATCAGACTTCAGAGCTTCTGGGATTATAGGCATACACCACTGTGCCTGGCTAAACTTTATACATTTTTAATGTATTATTCTGTGTTCATGTTTTTGTTTTCTTTTGCTGTACTAGGAATAGAACTCAGCGCCATATGCATGCTAGGCAAATGCAGTACCATTGAGCTATACCCAGCCCTATTCTCATGTTTTCACCCTTTCTCACGTAGTATCAGTGCTACATCATCAGGTGTTTTCCCAATATCATTATTGCTGAGCCCTGAGAAATAATAATTGTTAAAAAGCATAATTACTATTAAGGGTATATCCTACTGTGTTAGTAAACTTTTCACTGCTATGACCAAAACACAGGACTCGAATAACTTAGAGGAGGCAAAGCTTATTTTGGCTCAGAGTATCAGAGGTTCAGTCCATGGTGGGCCAAATCCATTGTTCTGGGCCCAAGATGAGGTAGAACATCATAGAAGAGTATGTAGTCATATTATGGTATCACTGTGACCAAAAGACCTGACAAGGATAATTAGACAAGAAAAAGTTTGATACACCATTTTAGAGGTCTAAGTCCATGTACAGTCAACTCCATAGCTCTTTAACCAATGTGAGGCAAAACATCATGGCATAAGAGTAATGCAAAGTAAAGCATCTCAGGACATGGCTATCATAAAACAGAGAACTGTGCTCACCAGGGACAAAATATAAACCTACCTGCCTACAGTCACCATCCGGTTAATCTGTATCATTGGATTAACCCACTGAGTAGGTTAAAACTATTATAATCTTATCATCTCCCCTCTAAAAATTCTTGCATTGTCTCGCACATGAGCTTTTGGGGGGCACCTCATATCTAAATCATAATGTAAAGCTCAGTGAAGGAGAACTGCCTCCATTCATGGCTGGCTAGGAAGAAAAAAAAAAAGATAAGGGGGAAGGGGTTGAAGGGAGGAAGCACACTTCTAGGGCATACCACTACTGCCCCACCTTCTTTAGTCACAATCCTCCTGTATACAGTTACCACTCAGCCTGTCCTTTCAAACTAGAATGGACGCTTAGGTCATTGCTCTCATAAGCCAATCATTTCACCTGTGAGAACATTCCTGCATTAACACAGGTGCTTTGGGGGGACAACTTACATCCAAACCACAAAGGCTATTAAGAAGAACATTAAAAATGGCTGAGTAGATATATTTTTTTTTCTTCAATTGCTTTGCAGGTCTCTTAACCAGAAAGCTTGGCCAATAATGCAAATATTCAAATTACCTATTTCAGAATTTTTTACCACATTTTTTTCATATTCTGTATTATAATTGCATGCTCTTAAAACCTTCAAATATCTCCCCGTCTCACTTCATAAAAATCAGGCCCCAAACAAGGACTTCTGAAACTGTTTCTGAAAACCTGTCAAAATAATAAAAGACATGAGAACATTAAAAATACATTGGAGTAAAAATATCTCTGAAATGAGGATGTCATTTCTTCTCTAATCATCTATTGCCATTAGATTGGAACATTGGTTGAATTTCAAATATAATAAGAGGACTCTTAAATCCAACTGTCATATTATGTTATCGTATCTGATTTTATGAGATGTTGTGTTAGCAAAGAAAGGGAAAGCACTAAATATAATTCAGGGTAGTATAAACTAGATAACGTGACTTGACAACTGAAATCTGAAAGAGAAAGTATGTACAGTAGTTTCATATCAGATATCCTCATCAAGTTGTAAATCTAGTAGGAGTGAAGTCAAATTTGAAGGTTTGTAAGAATATATTGCCAGGAAATATGTAGATCAAATTTTGTGACATTAAATAATTTTAGGATGCTTCTTATTCCTGAAAAGTAACTTTCTTTTTTACATATTACATTGTAGAAAATAGCAAAAAAAAAATTAAAAACAAGGAAGGTCAACTTTCACAGCATTATCATGAAATATTTTGACCAAATATTTATTCTTACCCATTTTTCTCTGGAGAACAAAGTGAGAATTTTTTTTTTAGCTTCAAATGCCATATTTTCTTTACCTGGCAAAATCTTCTGCAAATGAAGAGCCTTTGTAAAGTCATGATATTATATTATTTAAATTATCAATATCGTTTACTTTACCAAGGGAAGATAAATTCTTTGCTGAGGCATAATTGTATTATCAGATATTAAGAAGTCATAAGCCACAAAATGGAAATTAGTCCTTCAGTGGCCATTTTATACTCTGAAGATGATTGTATTTTAACATTTTTGTTGTCAACCACAGTATTATCTTGCTAGAATGTGCAACCCAAATTTCAACATCACTCTAACTTGAATAATATTTAAATATATGAACACTATATTGAATAATCAATATAGATTTTTAGTCAGACAGCCATTTCTTTGGCAGTAAGTGGAATATAGGCAAATGAATGTAAGTAAACTCCATCTTCATTAGTGTCTCAATATTGCAAGATCTTTTAGAAGCAAGAAGATATTTTCATGTTTTCTACTTCTCCAATGTTTTTCAGTCTCCATTAAAATTTTGCAAATGCATTGCCTCTTTCTCCTCATTATCTATTCAGATTTGTAAATGGAATTCATTGCAAGCAATCTCATTTTACAGATAAAATTAATGTTATTATAAAGAAACTCTAAAACTCAAAGATATTTATGAGTCATGCTGAGAAAGGATTTGTACTCAGTTATGATTAGTACAAGTCCCACAAGTTTTTACAAATGAAATTGCTACCATGTGCACATTTGGGGTACAAAGTGGATAAGTACAATTCTGACAGAATAGAAGCAGCTTTATGTGACTGATTCATTATTAGAATTAGGATTTATTGATAGATTGAGTGAGATTTCACTTTTGAAGCTGATTGATACACACATAGGCAAATATGAAAGTCTTAAAAACCAAGTGTATTGGTGAGTATTTGAGAATATATATGTATATATGTGAGTGTGTGTATGTGTGTGTGTATGTATGTATGTATATATATATATATATATATATAGAGAGAGAGAGAGAGAGAGGAGGGGGGTGTTATTAAAATAAGCCCCAATGGATTTCACCTCTTCACAATATCAAGTTGCTATTCTTGCCATAAATAGGTGAAAACTTTTTGTCTATTCTTCTGTGTATTATTGAACCTTGTGACCTGCTCTGGCAAATAAAATGTAGTTTCTCCAGTCTTTGCCCCAATATATGAATATTCATAAGCCCAGGTGAGATAAGCAGAAGAATGTCTTGGGCAATCCTACAGAGTCATAAAATAATAATAAATTACTGTTGTTAAAGCTAATAATTTTTTAAAAAAATATTTTTAGTTATTTATGTATACAATACCTTCATTTTATATATTCATATTTATGTGGTGCTGAGGATCAAATCTACTCCCTCACATGTGCTAGACAAGCACTCTGTTATTAAGTCACAGCCCCGGCCTGGTTTTTTTTTTTGTTGTTGTTGTTCAGTTATTTAAAATTTTTTTATTTGTTGTACATAATAGCAGAATGTATTTCAATTCATTGTGCACAAATGGAGCACATTTCAATTAGCTGGTTGTACATTGTGTAGAGAAACACCATTTTTGAAATCCTATATGTACCTAGGGTAATGATGTCCATCTCATTCAACCATCTTTCCTATTCTCATAACTCTTTCCCCAAAGTTCCTCCATTCTTCCCATGCCTCCCTGCTTCCATCATAGATCAGCATCCACTAATCAGAGAAAACATTAGGCCTTTAGCTTTTTGGAATTGACTTTCTTGGCTTAACATAATATTCTCCAGCTCCATTCATATATCTGCAAATGCCATAATTTTATTATCTTTTATGCTGAGTAATATTCTATTGTGTGTATACACCACAGTTTCTATATCTATTCATCTACTGATGGGCATCTAGGTTGGTTCAACGGTTTAGCTATTGTGAATTCAGCTGCTATAAACATTGGTGTGGCTATGTCACTATAGTATGCTGATTTTAAGTCCTTTGGGTACAAACCTAGGAAAGGGAGAGCTGGGTCAAATGGTGGTTCCATTCCAAGTTTTCTGAGGAATCTCCACACTGCTTTCCAAAGTGGTTGCATCAATTTGCAGTCTTACCAGCAATGAATGAGTGTATCTTTTTCCTCACTTCCTTGCCAACACTTATTATTTATAACTGCCATTCTGACTGGGGTGAGATTAAATCTTAGAGTAGTTTTGATTTGCATATGTTGAGTATATTTTCATATATCTGTTGATCATTTGTATATCTTCTACTTAGAAGTTCCTTAGCCCATTTATTGATTGAGTTGTTTGTTTTTTGGTACTAATTATTTTGGGTTCTTTATATATTCTGGAGACTAGTGTTCTATCTGATGTATATGTAGTAAAAATTTGCTCTCAAAATGTAGGCTCTTTATTCACCTCAATTATTGTCTCTTTTGCTGAGAAAAAGACTTTTAGTATAAATCTATCCCACTTATTGATTTTATTTCTTGCACTTTAGGGATCTTGTTAAGGAAGTATGGGACTAGTTCAATGTGATGAAGATTTGGGCCTACTTTTTCATCTATTAGGTGCAGGGTCTCTGATCTAATTCCTAGGTCCTTGATCCACTTTGAGTTGAGTTTTGTGCATGGTGAAAGATAGAGGTTTAATTTCATTTTGCTACATATGGATTTCCAGTTTTCCCAGCCCCATTTGTTAAAGAGGTTATCCTTTCCCCAATGTATGGTTTTGACACCTTTGTCTAATATGAGATAACTATATTTATATGGGTCTTCTATTCTGTATCATTGGTCTACAAGTCTATTTTGGTGGCAATACCATGCTGTTTTTGTTACTATAGCTCTGTAGTATAATTTAAGGTCTGATCTTGTGATGCCTCCTGCTTCACTTTTCTTATTAAATATTGCTTTGGC